CCATGGATGGTGATGCTGTCAGGGCCTGAGGTGTGGAAGCGCTGACGGGAGCCAATCAGGAAAGTCTCGGTGTGTTGAGGTTCAACTGAAGAAAATTAGCTCTCTGGTCAGCACAGCAGTGGTCCCGTAGTCAAAGGTGGAAGCAAAGAGGTATAGTCGGGTGTCATCTGCAAACATGTGTGACCCCATGTCTGCGGATGATGTCACCAAGAGGGACCATGGATATTGAAGAGGAGGGAACCAAGGACAGAGCCCTGAGGAACGTCACACCAGATGGTGCGGGGGCTAGAGGAGACACCGTTTGTGGAGATGAAGTGGAGGCGGTGTGAGAGGTACGATCGGACAGAGCCGTGAAGGTTGAGGTGAAATAAATTGATATCTTTCTGTATCCTTCAATCAAAAGGAAAAGTTTCTCATCATATTGCATCTCCTACAAAATTTAAACTCTGTAAAAGAAAGTAATTTTCTCCTTGCGTGGAACTTCTGTCAGACAGGATATGAGGATTGCACCACTTGTTTTAACAAAGATTGATTAGCCATTTGCTGTATATTTTTATCCGCTCTCCTGCTCTTCACTTTTGTAATGCCCGACAGCGAATACGGATGCTTGAACAATCCATATACAGCCAATCATACCAGTTATTTTTGCTGAGAGTTGCCAAACTATTTTTACTGCCACCAATGTGTGAGCCTTCGAGCATGGCAACTTGTGAGGGCAGGAGAGGGAAGAAGAGACACAGAGAAGGTTACAGATCACCAACTGATAAATGTAAAGGATTAAAAAGCTAAGTGAACAATAAAAGCAAGAACAAATAGAAAGGGGGATTAAGGCTGGAGAGAAAAAATAGAAATATAAAATAAACAATAAAAACAGTAGGAATATGAACAAAACTCTTTAGTCTTCAGGACATGATACAAGACACAGATTTGAGAGTAATAAGGAAACAATTGCTGAAATTGTCAACACTGTGTGGCAGCAGTAAAGAAAGCAAACAGGACCTTGTGGTGATTAGGGGATGCTGCACAAGTCATGGGAAGTGACACAGAACTTATACAGGCCACAAAACACACTTCAGAGCAATGTGTACAATTGGCACCTGGGTATTGGTTTTGGACCATTAGATAAATAGCTGGAATTAGGCATCCGAGTTATGAAATGCTACAGACGCTGAGAATGTTCACACAAAAGCTTAGTGGAGATTGTATTCAAGCATTCACATCTTAAAGAGTATAGATAAACTGAACCTCACTGATATGTTTAACAAGGCCAAAACATCTAGAGCAAGAGGGAAGGTGATCAGACAATTCAGATTGAATTATTTTACACAGAGCTTCGTGAATATGTAGAATAAACTGACAGAGGCGGTGGAGGCAGATTGTCAACAAATTCAAGAGGAAATTAGATAGTTACATAATTAATGGCAAGTTACATTGACTCCAGAGGAGATTCTCATCTGAAATTAGGCCTTAAATACATTACTAGCTGAGTAATTTTTTTGGTCAGCCGGGTACCTGACACAGGCAAAAACTCATCACCATGCTTAAAAGTCTACCAAACAAAGCTACTGATAATTCCACATATATTCCACATCTTGTTTGGAGTGGGAACACCCCCTCCACGAGAGATGCACTCTGCTTACTTGGAGGGTTCAGGTACCGTTTGGCAAGAAGAAATGCTTGAGGACACAAGATGATACTTTGAGGCAGTACTGGGATTAACCCACTAAAACTGCAGGTTACCATAGAGAGCACTGGCAAGCTTCCCACTGCTTATCCAGTCCGGACTACTCATTAATGTTTTGGCTTGTACGGTTTACTGTAAAATTAGTTTATTTTGCATCTCTGGCATGTTTCAATTGTTCGACAAGTTCTTAACCCAGTGATTTGGGAGGGGTAATATTTTATTCAACAGTAAAGATTGCATTCGCCATTAAAATGGGAGCGATCCTGTTACACACTGCCACATTCGTTAAATGGATGGATAGCAGAATTTCATTCTATAGGCATCCAAAGTAAAAAGTGTTCCTCTCCCCATCTCTGCCATTTATAAGATTACTTAAGACTGTTATAGCACAAAAAAGGGCCATTCAGACCAACTCATCCACACCGGTGTTTGTATTGCACATGAGCTTTCACCCATCATAAATGCCTTTTGAATATCCCTTTATTCTCTTCATATAAGCATCAAGCTTCTTTTTAAATTCATTGGTTGATATCTGTATCTTTTCTTGATGAATACAAAAAAAGTAGAATTATGTTAAAATTAAGAAAAACTTTAAAGTTATATGCTTGAATTAAAAATGTTTTACATTCTCCCGGTCTACACCTTGACGCCGATTAGATATCTAATAGTCTACCATGATATACCGCCC